ATCTGTGACTTTATTTTGATTCGTATGATATCAATTTCAAGAGACACATAACTTTTCCCGATTTACAATCAATTTATTACATCAAATCTTTGTATGACTTTGTTATTTCATGCTGTTAAATTTTATTATGGGGTAAATAGCGATAACAATTGTTAGAACCGCAAAGACAAGGAGTATCACTGAGATAATGGACGGAATTAGCCATTGCACCACCAGCATAATCAAAAGTCACTTCCTCCCCATTCTCTATATCCCTAGATGCAAATAAGCATAATCGAGGTACGATCCCTTCTATTCTGATCGGCACAAGGATGGAGTTTGGGTCACAGCTATGATTAGCATAGCGTCCAATATTACCAAAATATTTCGGATCTATACAAGTTACAATAATATGTTCACCAGTATGTTCCGACACTACGAGAACATAATTCATCAAGCTACGTTCTTTATTAGCTTCGACCCTACATCGCGCTTCCAACAGGCCTATCACCTCACCAGCGTATTCGCAAATGAATTGACCTTTTTTTATTAATTTATTCGTGAAAAGTCCGAGACCTTTATCGGCGACTTTTTTAACCGCCAGACAGTTCAACGGACCGTTCTGCACTAATCGATTTCCACAATTTGGCCCACATCCGCAACGAGCATGGCATTCAAATATCGGACCGATTAGTTTCTCACTGATAATTCGAGCATTAGAATAATTAGCAGAACCACGTGTACATGAGCAATTACGACATTCAGTCATGCACGAACAGCCTACAGTATATTCCGCCTCAAAGTCTGCTACGTCTATTCCAGGCCCTGGTATATTATTTGTTATGTACATAACATCCTCTACAGGATGTTCGTACTCATCAACAGAAGCACTCGCTTCCATACTTACCACAGTATGTATCAATAAAAATATCCGAAAAAGTCCGAGAGACTCTTTAGGATGTGAAGGCAGCACAAGATAAAGGGGGAAAAAACGCTTTATAATTAAGAAAACGATTTTCCTAACGATGTTAATAAAAACCTATCGCGTGGCACCAACCTGTAGAAGTCCCTCAACCGATGACTTAATAGAATGGAACGTGATAGTAGCGGGTACCGCTAAAACTTTATAGCCTACGTAAATTACAGCACCAAGTATAGATGTCTTAATGGTCAGCTTTAAAATTTTACCCGACAACGATGGTGGTGGTATTCTGTAAAAAAAAATTGAATGATAAATTATTATATAATAAATACATTTTAGTCTATTTTACTATAATGTATAAAATTTTGTTGAAAAGTTTTGTTTAAAAATCATTTATTATAAAGAAATGTATAAAATACAACTGCAGATATTTTCATTTAAAAAAAATTATTGCAAAACTGCATTATATAATAATTTTCATATTTACCTCATGATAGGTGGTATATCAGTAGGCTTGACTTTACCCCAATTTTCAATAATACCGGGTGTATGTCCTAAACCAACGATTCCTACAACTCGTGCTGGCTCGAAAGTATAATTCAAAGTACGATAAGGCAGACAGGCTAATTGCAGAGAATTTGTTAAATAAATATCTCTCTCCTTAACAAATACTTCTCCTAACACCGGAAATTCTTCCTTCATACTAGCAATCATTTCATCCAACATTGATCGTTGTTTACAGAGTTCGACCTCCTCTTTCGTGATAGGATCTTTCATTACTGCCAAGTGCCATCCTAGCTTTATAGTCTGCCACCACGATAATGATCGTATTGCACGCTGCATCGTTATATTAATTGGTCGATCAGCCAAATGAACAATGCAATTTGGCACTTTTTTCGCCTAAAATAATCATATAACAATTAATTATAATATAAAATACTGCTATTTCTATGTTAAATACTAACTTCCTCGAAGGCCCTTCGAAATTCACCACCAGGAGGCATACCAAGTTGTTTAGCAACTTGAGCTGCCATCCTTAATAATAAAATATGTAATAAACCATCATACAGTCCTTCTTTTTAATGGTATCCACAATAGTTGCTGTAAATGGATTAAATATAATACTGATATAGTAGTATATGTACAATAGAATTATATATAATGTGGAAACTTACAATAATTGATGTTTTTAGCGTAATCAAACATAACTTCTTCATCAAGTTGTAATATACCAACTCTGGCTCGGCATAATTCAACTACAATTATATGAGGCTGCACAGCCTGTATAATCTTTAACAAAAATAGTAAAATATTTTAAAAATACAAAAACAAAAACAATATGGTCTTATTGTAAAATTAAAAAATTCATTTTAACAGATAGAGGAAAATGCATATGTAGTTACTTTTGACACATCGTTTTGACTTTCAACGCTGAAATGAGCCGTTCCTACTAAATATAATTTTCCACCATCCGGTGTAGTCAATAACGTCACGGTTTCTGGTAATCTCTCATCGATAGTAACATCGTATTCCCTTAGTTTTGGTAGTTCGCCTACTGCATCGACAGTGTCAGATCTCTTGCTCTGAACATTGGAATCTGCTTTAGACCCAGTATTTTTATATTATAAATATATGGCCAATGTATACCTAATAATAAGTTAAATTAACACCGGAAACAACAAGGAGCAAACCTTGAGATTTCGAAACTTTCTTTTTATTTCTGTATTGTTTCTGTATTATTGGCATTTTTTGAAAGCACTGGGATAATTACATTATAATAACAGCAATGGCTGATTTCATTATTAGATTAGAACGTAGAAAGAAACCTTACAATATAAAAACTGCTTTGAAATGTCATACTTCTCACACAAAGATATACTTGTTGAGTAAGTATTTTATAACAACCAAAAGTATTAATATAATACATCCACAGAAATTATTTTATTAATTTATTAAGTTAATTTTCTTGCATTCGCAAAACATTTGATACAAAATACATATGACATAATAACACATACCTTCGTTAATAATAATAATTTCATTATCAGAGGACCCTGTACTGTTTATTTTGTAATCACTTTCAACATTATCCTCTACATTTATTATCGTCGATAAAGTACATGAAGGCTCTATGTTTGGTTGAGAATCTGACTGCATTATATTATGTCCAGATTTGTCAGCAATCAATTTCTTTATTCCTGTATAAATTTCAGGATTGACATCTTGTGGATCCAGTTTGAATGACATGTCATGATCGCCTCTCTCATCGATCAAATCATAGTGCTTATCTTCTATGGATGATAACAAATCGCTTTCTCGTTGATCACCTCCAACATGCTCAGCCTTA